TTTTTATTGGCTCACACCACAAATCTTAGCTTCTTTTGAATGGCATGAACAGAAAAAAAAATGTTTAAGGCATAAAAGGGTGCTATGAAATGCAAAAGATGAAGATCATTTTCATGCAACTCTGAGACTGGTAGGATTAAACAAAAGAAATAAACATATAAAGCAGTCACACCATTTAAAAAGTAGTAGCTTAAAGTCAGAAAATAGTTTTCCTCATACCACCTATACCTTTACTATACAAATAGTAAACACGGGCACTCCCCAAATCCACATTATGAACTGCATTCTGTCTTAAGGGACCATGCTAGTTTTGATATCATAAGAAACATAATTATAGCAGTCATGAAAGCTAATGTGTGGATGCTTGGTCACCATGAACAATTCAATACTTCCACTTTTGAACATGTTGTATCCAAAAGTTCATTTGTAAGTCAGTTGCATGGAATTTGAAATACATACATAAAAAGCTATGTCTGGTAGGTGGGTTTCTTGGCCTGACTATAAATCATTTTCATGTATCAAGCAGCAAAACTTGTAGCATTAGCTGTACTAGCCTGAGTTCAAGAAGCTGGGAACACTGCAAGTTAGAAGTGAGGAGAAAGGAATGTTGAAATGAGCAGTTTGCTCTGGTTATTTTACCACTTCCAGTACTCAACTCTCATCTACCAAAATGAGCTTGCTCTAAAAAGTGAGCTTGCTCTAAAAACTGAATTTCCTCAGGAACCTACCAATTTTCTCCAATGCACTCCTTAGGCCAAAGTTACAGACCTTCCTTTCACTTAAATCACAAAGAGCTGCTAATCTCCCCTAGGTGTCAGTGAGTCACTGGACTTCCTTTTAATACAAATGGATGTGTAAATGACTTGATGGTGCTCTAACCATTCCAGAACTTGCCTTTTTAATGAAAGGTGTTTATCACCCATTTGAACTGAAGATCCATTTGGGGAAGGTGGCACAGAGGTCAGCACACTGACAAAGACCACTTAGTTGGTCTCTAAGTGGTTCCGGCTTCCCAGGGCTGCTTCCTGTGTCACTTCTGAACCCATCTGCTAAAAGCTCTAGGAGTTTTCCCAAGGAAGAGGAGAAAAGATGGGCATCATAGGTGTGGGCCCAGAAGAGTGGTTCATACTTTGAAGTTTAATTATTCTCTTAGCCCCTACAACAGGAGTGTGAGTTTTGAGGGAACAGCTAGAAAACAAGCGAACCCTCAGGCTCGATTTAGTGCTCCAAAGTGGAGCTCCAGAGCCTGTGTGTGTGTGTGTGTGTGTGTGTGTGTGTGTGTGTGTTTGAGACAAGAGCCTTGCTCTGTCACCCAGGCTGGAGTGCAATGGTATGATCTCAGCTAACGGCAACCTCCGCCTCCCGGGTTCAAGCATTTCTCCTGCCTCATCCTCCCGAGTAGTTGGGATTATAGATGCCCACCACCACGCCCGGCTAATTTTTGGATTTTTAGTAGAGATGGGGTTTTGCCATATTGGTCTCCAATTCCTGACCTCAGGTGATCCATCCATCTCGGCCTCCCAAAGTGCTGGGATTACAGGCATGAGCCACCGTACCCAGCCTAAGAGCCTGCATTTTTAACAAATGCTACATGTAATTCTGACTCCATACTAAAAAAGACATTTGAAAGACAAGTAATTTGACTGTTTTAAAAATATGGATAATTGTACATTAGCTACATCACTTCCTATGGGATGCTTCCATTTTAGAGTCTCCTTTAGAATTCCAAGTTGTGTAAGCAGGAAACTTAAAGGCTGAATATATCTGCTTGAATTCCAGCTAAACTACTAAGTAAAAGAAAAACAAAGAGGACAGCCTCTTTAATTCTTTGAATCAAGTTCCTTTAAACTTTAAAATAGTTTAGGTTCCACTCCACCTTAATAGTTCTTAAATCAAACTTAGTTAATGCCAGAAACTTTCAAATGTAGATCTAAGGTGAAAAAAAACCCCACACTTGGAGGTAAATTGTGGGTATCAAATAAAGGGGTCAAAGGTGTACTATCAATTTATTTTTTACAATTGAGCCTCAGTTAATGCCCAAATTTCTTACTCATCAAACACTGTTACCATAAAATATAAAAATATAAGAATATATATATGTAAACATCAGAGAATATGAAAATATGAGTTGACAGTTAACTCAAGAAATGCTTAGGTTTGTTTTTAGTTTGTTTTTTTGAGACAGAGTCTCACTCTGTTGCCGAGGCTGGAGTGCAGTGGCACAATCTTGGCTCACTGCAGCCTCTGCCTCCCTGCAGCCTCTGCCTGCTGAGTAGCTGGGATTACAGGCAAAAGCCATCATGCCTGGCTAACTTTTGTATTTTTCGTAGAGACAGTGTTTTGCTCTGTTGGCCAGGCTGGTCCTGAATTCCTGACCTCAAGTGATCCACCTGCCTGGGCCTCCCAAAGTGCTGGGATTACAAGCGTGAGCCACCAAGCCCAGCTAGATTTGGTTTTCTAAAGTAAAACAGATCTCTTAATTTTCTTGTGCATATTTTAGACACTACAAAATAAATCCCAACCCCTACAGAATATCAAGGTACTTACATAAAAGTACTCATTTAAAATGATCAAATTAATATTGTGGCAGACTTTCAGAATTTCCCTAATTTCTTAAGACCCCAACCTTTGATATTAATGCATTTGCATTCACATTTTTATAATTACACTTTATTTTTGAGATGGAGTTTTGCTCTTGTTGCCCAGGCTGGAGTGCAATAGCACAATCTCAGCTCACCACAACCTCTGCCTCCCAGCTTCAAGTGATTTTCCTACCTCAGCCTCCTAAATAGCTAGGATTACAGGCATGCGCCTCCATGCCCAGCTAATTTTGTATTTTTAACAAAGACTAGTTTTCTTCATGTTGGTCAGGCTGGTCTTGAACTCCTGATCTCAGGTGATCCACTCGCCTTGGCCTCCTAAAGTGCTGAGATAACAGGTATAAGCCTCCATGCCTGGCCTTAATTACACTTTTATGAACAAAAAGTATAACTTTAAGAATCCTTATCCTTGCAAGTTGAGGACCTCTTTTTCAAACCCATGTTTAAGGAAGAGCAAGTATTTCACTCCCTGGAGTTTTCTTTCTACCGATTTTTAAAAGCATTCATTAGGCAAAAGCTCCACTTGTTGTGAATGGTAAGGGGCACAGTTCTTAACGGCTACCCTGAACATGAGAACCCTTCTGCAATACCTTTGCGACTGTTTTCCGCACTTGCCAAACCCAAACCTTTCAACTGGTCCATGAAAATCTACTCAACATTCTCTAATTCTTCTATTCCTATGTTTCACAGAAAATTATATGCAAAGTCTTTTCCAGTCTTTCCTTTTTCCTCTGGTGGGTGAAAGGAGTTGAGGGGGTAGATATGAAAGAGACAGGAACTCCATTCTGCCAAAAGGAAGAGAGAAATCATTTGAATTCCCCCTACTCATATATTTTACATCTGCAGATAACGCAAACTGAGATACTTATTTATAATAGGCAACAAGACTTTTTGTCACTGCCACAGTCTAGATAATTTAAACAGAAGTAACTATGGTTAAATAGCTTTTCTTCCTAATTTCAGATGTTAAACAATACAGAGCAAGATGCTTTAGAATGTTTTTAAAATGTTAATGTGAAAATCACTTGAAATTTATGTAATAGCTGCCTTATTTTCAACTCCCCTAAATCAAGTTTACTTCTATTCTATGACTAAAGTTACTTCCAATATAATAAAGTGACTAATTTTAGCCTTTTAGTTATTCACACATGCGAACATGCTTTCCCAGGTACTTCCCCTCACCTCCTCCACTTATCTCTAATGTAGCATTTTCAATCTTCAAAGAAGTCAGGGATTAAAAAAGTATCCCAGTATTGTGTGTAGTTGGCCAATTAGTCTAAGGTTAGACAGTATGTTAAATATTGAGCTTGGCCAGGCATGGTGACTCATGCCTGTAATCCCAGCACTTTGGGAGGCCGAGGCAGGTGGATCACCTGAGGTCAGGAGTTTGAGACCAGCCTGACCAACATGGAGAAACCCCATCTCTACTAAAAACACAAAATTAGCTGGGTGTGGTGGTGCATGCCTATAATCCCAGCTACTTGGGAGGCTGAGGCAGGAGAATCGCTTGAACCTGGGAGGTGGAGGTGGCGGTGGGCTGAGATCGCGCCATTGCACTCCAGCCTGAGCAACAAAAGCAAAACTCTGTCTCAAAAAAAAAAAAAAATAAATTGAGCTTTGATCAATTCTCAAGTTTCTGGTTCACTTTAGTTGGATACCCTCTTTGATGGTTCTAAAATTAGTACAGTTAATAAACTCACTCAGTTGCATAGTGGTCAAAGTTTGTGGGTGGAGGAAAAAAATAAAGGGCACGGAGACATTCATTCCATCAAGGACACTGTGCACTGCCTGGTATTTTCTTCCTCCATTACATATGGAGATAGCTGTCACCACATTCTTTTTCTGCAACTCAGAAGAAACTCAATGAAACACCAGAGAACCCTCAGGATGTCTGGAGGGACTCTGATGTTGAGATAGGCAATGAGGTTTGCACATACAAGTCCATGAAGAAGGAAAGCCAAAAATACTCTCTCTACTCTCCAGCCCTCATCCTCAAGACTAGTATAAAAGCAAGAAATGGTCAGTTAAATATATTTTCATCCTTCTTCTATTTTGTTAAAAATAATATGCCTAAAAATCTGCAGATGAGCTAATATGACCTTGAAAGGGGGTATATCAAATTCTGCGGAAGCCACCTTAAATCTCTTGGGAAACAAAACAATCTGTGGAAGAAAACAGCCTCTGATATAGCTATAAATCGCTCTTCTATTTTCTTACATATTTATAAAATCATACCAGAAATAATTAGTTGTTTATCAATAACAGAACACTGATGTGAACTTGACCTAACAGCTAGCATAAAGCTGTCAATTCATCCTGCATTAACAAAAATAAAAATATGAATCAAAGAAAATGAAATGAGATAAAAAAACTATTAGAAAGAAAATGACAAAATTCAAATTGACTTTGAAAAAATCTGATTTTATTTTCTGAATCAAAAAGAAGTATTTCATCTTAAATTTAGATTATTTGGCTTTCCACTGATATCTCAAGATACTTTCCATATATTAATAGTGCTCAGAACTGTGTAAAAGTTAACAACCAATACCATGTTTTAAAGAAAAAAGTTTAAATGTAAGACTAATGTCTTGGGGACATCAGTAAATGTATTTCTAAGAAACCCTTCTCAAAGGTCAAAGTATTGGCAATTCTAATTAAAACATTTAAAATGTTTAATTATTGGAAATTTAAGTACCAACAGTTTCGAGAGCTAAAGAATCAGATCGCTTTTAAAAACAATTTTTTTCTTCCTGAGGGATTCATACATGACAACAACTCTGGTTAAACATAATACTCCACCCAAATCTCAAATTTAAATGCATTACTTCACCTTGGAGTAGTAAAATTACAAAATGGAATTTCTAAATTATAATATATACACATAATACAGCATTTTAACTGTCATGTTTACCAGCAGAATTATGAGATCAAAACAAATTTTACATTCAAGGGACAAATAATAAATGTTCTTTCATTTTTTTAAAAGTCCATTCCATTCTTCATTATTTTCTACTCCCATATTTTAAAATTATGACCAAAGGACAAAAGGCCAAGTCATTCCCATTTCCCTGAACCAAACAGCCAGTAGGTACTGGGCCTTACATAGGCATCCTTTAACAAGCCCAGGTCTCAAAAGGCTGGGGGTATGTATACAAGAAGATGATTTGGGAACACTTTAGAATTGCAAAGTGACTCTAAGATCCACTTTCCCAAGATCTAGTACAGGCTATTCATGTGTTCTGAAGCATGTCCAGCATGCAGGCAAACTTATCTGTTCAAATTGAGGTAAAACAGACAAAGAACACTTAATATTAACAGAAGCTACATAATTAAAACTAACTTTTCACTGCTTATTTAATATAAACTAATTACGTATTCTTACAAAACAGATCCCCTCAAGTCAATAATTTCTTTTATTTTTCAAATTTAGAAATGTCTCATGTATGGGTACTAGTTCATATTTTTCAGATACCAAGGAATACCAACAGGATTCATAAATAGGATTTTCTGACACAGGCAAGAAAGTCTGCTAACATTTACAAAATACCAAAGACTCTTCTTTCAAGCTTCAAAGATGGGTGAAAATTAACAGTTCCAATTAGTTAACAGTACAATTAAAAAATTTAAATCTTGATTTTTTTTTTGGCCAACATTTTAAACAGTCAAATTTTACTCTACTTCCAGGTTTCAAATCAAAACAAACAAAAAAACTAATGAAAATTACCCAACTGGCAACAAGTCCCATATTCCAATGTTATTTTTAAACCACCAATTATAACCTACTGCCAGAAATTATTTGTTAAGTACCTGCTTGTTTTATTAAGCACTGGTCAATTATATAAAAGAATAATTTGCTAGAATGATACTTGGTGCTGGGTTATCTTAATACTTCTGGAATAAACAGAAGCATTAACAAAACACCAGATCTTAAGCCCTTTTAAATCTGTAATTTGAATTCCAAAAGGACTTTTAAATGTTACTTTTACACTGATAGATTGTAGGGAGTCTAGTCCCAGCTAACATGGTTGATTTTAAAAAACAAATAAATCCCTAAGCCACATGGTAATAGAATACTACAGTTGCTTTTTATATCATATGGGAACAGTTCCAGACAGAGCACAAGTAGAAGAAAACCTGCCAAATCAAAGTACTGTAAATAAAGTTCCTCTTATGTACTCCAGTGAGAAAACCTCAAAAATAAAAATCAAAAGACCACCCACTGTTACCCCCCTCCACAAAACCCACCCGAAACACTTTAGTTCTGAACCTACCATTTCCCTAAGATGTTCACAGGAGAAGCTTTAAGGTACTTAAAGCTGCACAGCACAGTTGAAAGCGCCACACTACAGGGGAAATGCTCAAAGGGCTCAGCAGCTGCCCACCCATCCCGAACCACCCCCATCCCAGTAATATGTAAAAGCTCCTGTTAAAGATTTTTTCTTAGGCTAATAAAGGCATAGCACCTAGTGTGCTAAAGACTACAACTAGCAGCATTAGAGCAGTAAAGTGAAAATAGGAAGCCCACAGGAATGATCTAAATGCCTACTTAGAAGAAACAAAGCAGCAGACAAGATCCTTAGCCCTCTCATCTATGCAGGGAAGCAGTTGAATTAAACTCAGATTTACCCACATTAACAAAAATTTAACAAAGCTTCCCCAAGACACCAGAATAAAACTTGACCTTTCCAGTCAAATGGCACAGAGAGGCCTCTTCCATGTCCTGGAGTTGAATGAGTTCAAAGATTGGCAATAAAGGAAAAAAGAAAGCATTACGGGTGTGATGGGAACATGCTCTGTTTATCGAACAGTCACACCAAGTTTCTCTAGCACACGGACACCCTTTTCTTGGTACTCTTGTCGGGTCATCCAAAAGTTGTCTTTGTCTTTCATGATATCTGCTAGAACTGCACCACCCAGGAATACCATGTGCTTTCTGCGGGGTGGGTCTTCAATGCGGATCTTAAATTTCTAAAGGAGAAAGAATGGATATTAAAATGGTACATATGCACAGTGCTTTCTGCTTTATGAAAATGAACTTTTTAAATATATGGCTCTTGCTCAACCTTACAACAGTCTTGTCATATAAGCAGAACAGTAAGATTTGGTACCTGAGGTACAAAAACATTTAGTAATTTGCCCAAAGCTCATGTTCAGGAGACCACACATCTATCCCAGTATGCTTGGACAGTCCTGATTTACATACCGTATCCCATTGTTATTAACACCATCCCTTTTCATTCTTGAGTGTCCTAATTAGATCAATAAATTACATGACTGAACACTCTACTGAGAGACCAAACATCGAAGACATTATAATAGTAAATTTTCCATCCACTGGCAGATGACCACTTGAGGAAGTTCTGAATAAAAGGACTTGCATGACTTCTTCAGGGTCTAAGACTATTATGATTCTAGTCCAGTGCAATACAGTCAAACTGAAGCTCTTTTCTTTTAAGCAAAGCTTACTTTTATTGTCTCAAAATCAAATGAAATGTTCCTAAAATAAACAAGGCCAAATATGGTCAAAACAAATCATGGGGATGTTATGAAAAAATGAACACAACAACCAAAATCAAAGACAACTGGGAAAAGTTTTATACTGTGTAGCTGCTATTAAATGTCTAGGAAGGACACACCCTTATCTTTACAGTTGGTCAACACCTGAAAGAGAAACCTTAAAATTACATAGCAAATTTTCATTTACAGTGTCACAATCCTGCAAAAAAGACTCAATGTAACTATGTCATTCTAAATCATTTGTATATATGTCACATAAATGAACTGTAGGGTAGTGATAATCCAAGATAAAGAACAACATCAGTTTATGTACCAGTTCTGAGACTAACTACTGTTTCACTGTTCTAGTGACATTCTTGTTCATAGGTAGCGGTCAGCAAACTTTTTTTTGCAAAGGGCCAGATAGTAAATACTTGAGGCTTTGCAAGCCTGACAACTACCCCATGTAGCTAGAAGGTACCCACAGACAATGTGTGACAATAGGTAACATTATGTAAACAAATGGGCTTGGCTGTGTTCCAATAAAACTTTAAAAAAAAAAAAAAAAAAAAAAACAAGCAGTTTTGGCATAAAGATTATAGATGCCTACCCCTGCTCTAAGGGAAACTTAGCTAGCCCCTGAAGACACTACTGCTTCTGTAAACATCTCAACTGGTTACTGTTTGTATCTCACACACTACCTTAACCCTGGAGATTTGGGAATATGAGTTCTTACTCTTCATTGCTGCTTCTATCTGGCTCATAACTAAAACTCCACAGCCCCATGTGACATTCATTCTATCAGATTATTCCACCTACCACTCCCTCCTTGCTGAACTCATCTATAGATGCCTACAGACAAATTGCACCTGCTCTCAAGCAGCTGAAAAAGATAGAAAAGAAACAAAACATCTTGCTTTAATGTATCATTAACCTCAAGTGAGCCCTTCCTGCTGCTTGGCAATCCTATTACATTTCTCTATTCTTTTCCATTCTCCAAAACAACCTCTATTCTAAAACTCTACCATCCCTTCCCTCCTCCCATCCCCTCCTAACTGGTCTCTCAATGCCCACCTTTGTTCCCTCTTCCTCCAAGAGTCTATTCACCACACCAAACTTAATGATCCTTTAAAAATATACACCAGATCCTATCATTTATCTGCTTAAACTGCCCCCCGCCGCCCCCCGCAAGAGTTTCCACTTCACCAGGAGTTAAGCCAAACCCTTTACCATGGCTGAACAAGACCTGCCCTCCTGCTACCCTTCTGACCTCATCTCCCACCTGCCCCCCTCCCTTGCTCACTCTGCTCCAGCCACACTGGCACACTCCCAACTTGGGGCTTTTGCACTGTTCCTGCCTGGAAGATTCTTCCCGCAGACAGTTGCATGGCTCACTCCGCTCACACTCAACTTAGGTCTCTGATCAAAAGTCACTTCACCCAAGAGGCCTTCCCTGATCAGTTTATGAAGGAGCACACATCCTCCCCAACCACTAACATCTTCCAGCTCTTCACCTTATTTTTCTTCATACCACTTACTACAAGTAATAAAGTATTTAGACTAAAAGCAGGGATTCTGTTTTCATTGTTTTGTTTGTCCTCAGCACCTAGACACTCAGTTTGGCACTCAGGAGTTCAAGAAATGTTTGCTGAATAAATGATCACCTGAGATTGATTTTAAATTATATGTAAAACTCCATAAAATCAGAAAAACAAGTGAAGTACTTAGACAGTATGGCTCCTTTCTAGTCTGTTAATCTATTGAATGTATGTGAGCCCATACTCAATTTAATTTCAACAATTTGAGTCACATATGAAAGATGTAACATATAGTACTCTGTAATATGTAATCTCATAATCTAAAACAGTTGATCAAAGTCAGTGAGACAAAGCTCAGAAATTAACTCTTGGTTGAGTATACAGATAACTCTTAGTTGAGTATATTAGATAACTCTTGGTTAAGTATATAGCACATACTGTATACTTCACACAGTCCAGAGTTTGGGGAGAAAAACACAAAACCCATGCCAAAGAAACATCAACTATTATAGTTTAAACATTTCTTTCTACTGTACATACCAACAACTACCAATTTAAGTCTGTTTCAAGAGCTATGACAGTTACTGGAATGTAAAAAAAATTTGAGACATGATGTTTTACAACCTGACTGAGAGAAGACAATGCAACAAGTAGCCAGAAAATAACCTAAAGTCAGAAATATGAGATAGCCCAACAGAAGTGCTGAAGGCTAATTAATTGCATGTCCAAAAAATAAGTTTTCAAAACAAAACAAAACCCAAGTGGGGCATTTATTTCCCCACAGTACATACAGCAGGTTCTTCTCATGCACATAGAGATGCCTCAGAGTCCATGCTGGTTGTTACAGATGAACCAGAACTTTTGGCCCTGACCTCACTGCCTCTATCCATTGACTATAGAGGTGACCAGAGCTGATCTTGAACTATTTCCTTCTTCCTATCATTTCCAGGCTGCACTTGACTGCAGTAAGAATTTGTTTAGGAAGACGTCTTGCTCCCTCTGGTGGTTGTCAAGATTCACAAACTACTGTATAGGCTTTTAAAAGAACGTTAATAGTTGATTTACTAATACTTACAGAAAGCTTTTCTACATCTCCCTTTAAAACTCGTTCTAAGTAAAGCTGTTTAAGTTCCCGTTCCAACCGTGAGGGCAGGCCAGGGTACATAGTAGACCCTCCAGAAAGCACAATGTGTTTGTAGAATTCAGATCTAGAAAAGCAAAATGGTTATTCATTTGGAGTTTTAGATTAGGAAAATGGTATCTCAGAGTTACTGTTACTTATGTCAGCCTCAGGGGGTGGCAAGTAGAATTAAATGAAATTCCATGTGTAAATCATAGGGCTGAATATATGCTGTTATTACTACTGCAAAGTAATGACCCCTCTTCACATATAAAATCTATAATTTTGATGAAAATAAAATACTTCTGAAGTATATAATACACTTTCTTGTAAATGTAATTGAGATTTCTAATAATCACCAAGATTTACACAACAAGCCTCTAGTATTTATGTTATCACAGTCATTGATATGTGGTTTACTATGATTAGCCATATTCTACTTTAATTCAGAATTCCTGCTTTTAAATTTTTCCATTTGCCTTTTGTAGTTTTCTCTTTTTGGTGCCTTTTCTTAGAGGCTGTCTGCTGTTATTTTTGGCTAGATTGATGTGTATGCTTCTTATAGCAGTCCTCTCTTTTTTCCTTAAACATGCTGTTGTCTAGGATATTAGATAAACCAATCTAAAAAGACTGCATATGTAGTAAAACTAACAGAATTTGAGTGAGGATCTGAGGAATAATTCTCACAGTAAAGTTTGGGAGCTGAATTCACATCCATTTTGGCCTGATTCAACCTGGCTTCCAGGTTTTTACTTGCTTCCAGGTTCTCAATGGCTAAAGCTACTACAACTTTAACAAAGCATTGTTTTTGTATTTAATTGCCAAAGCAAGCCAGGTGAATGTTGCATAAACTAAGCAGGTGAAGTACAGCTATTTGTGATATGTACACATAAACATTAACATGTACATTTTCAACATGCAGAACACACAAGACAAAATTTGAGTTGTGCCACTTTGCAATGCAAACTGCAGAGAAGGCGCTGAATCTGACTCTTGTACTTTAGGAATGTTGATGCTTTATAATTTATCAATAGGCATGTACTTTTAAATACAATTTTGCTCTAAATGATCATCAAATCAAAGGTCAAAATCATCTACCTAATCCCTATCATGAGAATTTACCATAATTATGAAGGCTAGATTCGATTTTTGATCATCTTCCATCAGGTTTACAGCTTGTTATGAGTCAACTGCTATTTTTATTAATTTCTATTATCCTGGTTCTGAAGCCATCCCATCAAAATTAATTAGTTGGCTATTGAACTCAGGGTTACACAAACAAATGCTTGCTGTACAAAATGCTTCTGGGTCAATTCATCTATAACTTGAGTGTAGAGGAGGGCCGTCTAATTATGACTCAAGCTCTAGATGCAATAAAAGACTATAAATCTTTTTAGATGACTAAATAAAAACAAACTTTTGCATGGCCAAAACACTAACAGCGATAGACAAATGGCAAACTAAAAATATCTGTAAAAGATATCAGAAAGCTAAAAGAAAACTTTTCAAAACTAAGAAAAAAACAACCCCAAAATGTACAGACAGTAAGCCATGAACAATCTGCCAAAAAAAGGTATTAAAAATGTTCCTTAAACATAAAAAAATATGTTCAACCCCACTATTTCTTTATAGTAACTTTTTTTTGTGGTGGTGGGGAGAGACAGGGTCGCACTCTGTCACCCAGGCTGGAGTGCAGTGGCACAATCATGGCTCACTGCAGCCTCGATCTCTCAGGCTCAAGCGATCCTCCCACTTCAGCCTTCTGAGTAGCTAGGACTACAGGAGTACACCACCACCACACCTGGCTAATGTTTTTGAAAACATTTTATGTGAAGACAGTCCCCATATGTTGCCAGGCTCGTCTTAAACTCCTGGGCTAAGCAAACCTCCTGCCTCGGCCTCCCAAAGTGCTGTGATTATAGCCATGAGCCACCACACGTGGCCAGACTTCACTCCTAATGAGAGAAATAAAAAGTAAAATTACACACAAATAATTTCTCACTCATCAGATTGGTGGAAAGGAGAAATGATACAATTGCCAGAGAGGGAAATTTGGTAATATCTAACAAAAATACATGCATTTACATCAAACTAAGACACTTCTGTGGCCAGGTACGATGGCTCATGCCTGCAATCCCAGCACTTTGGGAAGCTGAGGGAGGTGGATCACTTGAGGCCAGGTGTTCAAGACCAGCCTGGCCAATATGGCAAAACCCATCTCTACTAAAAGTGCAAAAAAAAATAGCTGGGCATGGTGGTGCATGCCTGTAATCCTAGCTACTTGGGAGGCTGAGACATGAGAATTGCTGGAAACCGAGAGGCAGAGGTTGCAGTGAGTCAGGATCGCACCACTGTACTCCAGCCTGGGTGACAGAGCGATATTCCATCTCAAAAAACAAACAACAACAAAAAAAGAAACTTCGGAACAGCAAAGGAATTATCAACAAAGTGAAGATACAACCTATAGAATGGGAGAATATATTTATAAACCAGATATCTGATAAGGGGTTAATATCCAAAATATATAAGGAACTCAAATCTCAAATGACTCAATAGCAAGAAAACAAATATACCAAATAATAAATGGGCAAAGGCCCTGAACAGACATTTCTCAAAAGAAGATATACAAATGGAAAAAATGCTAAGCATTCCTAATCATCATGGAAATAAATGCAAATTAAACCACACCTGTTAGAATAGCTATTATCAAAAAGAGGAAAGGTAACAAATACTGGCGAGGATATGGAGAAAAGGAAACTCTTATACACTGCTGGTGGGAGTGTGAATTAGTACAGCTATTACAGAAAACAGTATGGACGTTCCTCAAAAAATTAAAAATAGAACTACCATATGATCCAGCAATTCCACTACTGGGTATATATCCAAAGGATCTGAAATCAGCATGACTATGTAAGAGAATATCTTTACCCTTAGGAAACACCACTTGGTAAAGAATTGATGCATTTAATCTACTCTCAAATGGTTCAGAAAAAAACAGAATGAAAAAGCAAACATGTAGAACATTAGAATTAGTAAAATGGTAAAACTAGATAAAGCATATAGATAAATTTTCTGTATAGTTCTTGCAACTTTTCTGTAAGTCTGAAATTATTTCAAGTAAATTTAAAGTGGCTTCTGAGATACAATGATGTAATATATGTTGTTCAACATCTAGTTTCACCCTATCAAAAAATTATTTTGCCTTATCCAAAAACATGATTGAGCTAATAAACAACTTAATCATTCTATTTAATTCCATCTATTTCTGATAAATAACTCAAAAAAATTTTTTTCTTTATTGTTTTTCTGATAAATAACTTTGAAATCATTTATAATGTACCTGGTATCAATGTCAGCTGCCTGAATTGTGTTAAAAAGCAATTCAGCAACACCAACTCCTTCAACATTGATCAAGTGAGGCTGAAATAAAGCTTCTGGTGCTTCAAATCTCTCTCCCCCAACTTTGATGATACGTCCATCTGGGAGCTAGGAACCAAGAATAATCAGGTACTAATCAGCAGAAGATTAAAATTTCCCAGTATTCTCCAGAACTCTAGTACTTTTAGATACATCTGTTCTGCAACCAAAACATTACCAGCAACAATTTTTCCTGAAATATATTTTGGGAAAAAAAGGTAAATTCAATAGATTTAGGTAACTGTTCTTATCACATTCTGTTTTGCTTTTAAAAATGGTATGCCACTTTGCAAACAGATCAGTCCTTATTAAGAAAAAGCAACCCCATCAAAAAGTGGGTGAAGGATATGAACAGACACTTTTCAAAAGACATGTGGCCAACAAACATATGAAAAAAAGCTCATCATTGCTGGTCATTAAAGAAATGCAAATGAAAACCACAATGAGATACCATCTCACTCCAGTTAGAATGGTGATCATCAATAAGTCAGGAAACAACAGATGCTGGAGAGGATGTGGAGAAACAGGAACACTTTGACACTATTGGTGGGAATGTAAATTAGTTCAACCATTGGGGAAGACAATGTGGCAATTCCTCAAGAATCTAGAACTAGAAATACCATTTGACCCATCAATCCCATTACTGTGTATATACCCAAAGGATTATTATAAATCTTTCTACGCCGGGCACGGTGGCTCACACCTGTAATCCCAGCACTTTGGGAGGCCGAGGCGGGTGGATCACGAGGTCAAGAGATTGAGACCATCTTGGTCAACGTGGTGAAACCCTGTCTCTACTAAAAATACAAAAAAAATTAGCTGGGCATGGTGGAACGTGCCTGTAATCCCAGCTACTAAGGAGGCTGAGGCAGGAGAAATGCCTGAACCCAGGAGGCGGAGGTTGCAGGGAGCCAAGATTGCGCCATTGCACTCCAGCCTGTTAACAAGAGTGAAACTCTGTCTCAAAAAAAAAAAATCATTCTACTATAAAGACATATACATATGTATGTTCACTGCAGCACTATTCACAACAGCAAAGACTTGGAACTAACCTAAATGACCATCAACGTTAGACTGGATAAAGAAAATGTGGCACATATACACCATGGAATACTATGCAGCCATAAAAAGAATGAGTTCATGTCCTTTACAGGGACATGGATGAAGCTGGAAACCATCATTCTCAGCAAACACATACAGGAACAGAAAACCAAACATCGCATGTTCTCACTCATAAGTGGGATTTGAACAATGAGAACATATGGGCACAGGGAAGGGAACATAACACACTGGGTAGGGCCTGTTGGGGGATGGGGGAGGGATAGCATCAGGAGAAATACCTAATGTAGATGACGGGTTGATGGGTGCAGCAAACCACCATGGCACATGTATACCTAAGTAACAAATCTGCACGTTCTGCACATGTATCCCAGAACTTAATGTATAATAAAAATAAATAAATAGGCTGGGAGCAGTGGCTCACGCCTGTAATCCCAGCACTTTGGGAGGTCAATGCTGGAGGATCATCATAGGTCAGGAGCTCAAAACCAGTCTGACCAATACGATGAAACCCCGTCTCTACTAAAAATACAAAAATTAGCTGGGCATGGTGGCATGTTTCTGTAATCCCAGCTACTCGGGAAGCTAACAAAGGAGAATCACTTGAATCTGGAAGGTAGAGGTTGCAGTCAGTCAGCCGAGATTGTGCCACTGCACTCCAGCCTGTGCAACAAGACTGAAACTCCATCTCAAAATAGATTAAAATAACATAACATAACATAACATAAAATGGGTTTACTATTTGGATCACTATCTTAAATTTTTTTTTGACACCAAGTCTCACTCTCTTGCCCAGGCTGGAGTACAGTGGCACAATCTCAGCTCACTGCAACCTCCACCACTCAGGTTCAAGCAATTCTCCTGCCTCAGTCTCCAGAGTAGCTGGGATTACAGTTGCCTACCACCTTGCTTGGCTAATTTTTTTTGTATTTTTAGTAGAGACGGGGCTTTGCCATGTTGGCCAGACTGGTCTTGAACTCCTCTCCTTGGCCTCCTCCCAAAGTGCTGGGATTACTGGCATGAGCCACCACGCCCAGCCAACAACAAATTTTTTATAATTACTTTTAAAATGACCATTTTGCACATACCTGTGAATATGCAGAGCTAGTATGCATCATATGGTTTTAAAATACTTGCTTTTATTGCCTATTACTCTGCTTCATTTTAGTAATAACTAGATCAAAGATGAGAACTGGAAGTACTTTATACTCTGATGAATTTAATAGGCCTAAGATGGTAATTCATTAAAAATTCAAGTAGGAGCAACTCCTCTAGTGTTACACATTATAACTAGGTCCTAAATCTCATTATTTATAATTTCAAGTTAACATTTAACACCTCATTAAAAAATATTGTCAGGAAAGGCTGCCACCTACTGAATTAGTAAAGTAATACTCCAGAATGACCACTTTCAAAGTATGTTTCTTAGACCACTAATCCCATGAAATTCTGAAAAGTCTTAGAGTTTAAGTCTGAGAAACAGGCATACCATATTAACAGAGTTGTGTATATATTAGCATACCAAAGGCTCTGAGAAGTTCAGTGAAGTGAAATAAACTGTTCCCCAAACTTATCTGACAATGTAATCCTTTTTAATTTTTGTGAAATGCTTATTAACATCTCAGGGAAATAAAGTTCCGTAAAACATATGTTGAGAAATGCTATGCCAAATACTAGAATCTCAAAATAACATCTCACATCTAATTATATCCTAGCATAGAGAGTAATTTATGATTCTTGCCTTAATTTGCATTATATAGTGCCCTAAAATAGTTAAAACAATAGAATCTTAATGTAGAAAGAGACATTAAAAGTCATACATATACATATTACAACAACCCAAGACAAAAATACTGATTTTAAGAAAACCTCCTTAAGCTGACACCAATAATCATGGCTGTCCACTTTAAAACACATATATATTATACACTGGAAACACTTACAGTATAAGATTCAACTAATACTGTGGTTTCTAAGGCCAGTTTCTGCTCTTGCTCAATATTGTATCCCACGTAACACAGTTTTTCTTTAATCATGCGAACCGTTTCAAAATCAGCAGAGTGGTTGAAGGCATATCCTCGCAACAGAAGCAGCTGGTACAAAAAAACAGCAGTAAGTTCATAAGAAATCTGAATGAATTCTACTCTGCAAAAGCTATTAATGCTCATTAAATACGTGACATCAATAACAAACATAATGGGCAGTAATCCTCAGCTCCTACTATTTCAGAAGTAGGATTTTACTTGCCATAAAACTTATATTTTAGTTTCAGAGAGGGTGAAAAAATCAACAATTCACAAAAAAAGTCAGTAAAATGACTAGAAAAGTCAGTTTTTGAAAAGCACTGCATGAGTACTAATGTTTAGACAGTTTCGATAAACAATCAAAAGTATATTAATGAATAAATATTATTTTAGTACTGGACTCCGTAGCCTGCAATATGAGATGCCCCCAGGTCTTACAAAATTTTCTCTTTAGTTTCTAATACTGTGTCTGGCACATATTGGAAGGACAATAGCATTTGTTTAACAAATAAGGGAATTATTGGGTACTCAAAGGTATGATCGCTGGTGTTACTAAATGCTAGAAAATATTATTCTAGCTTCTTAAATCTCTACTTTCTTAAATGCTAGAAAATATTACTATTAAAAAAAAAACCTGCTGAGAGAAAAAACATTACTAGACTTCACAAATTAAAAAAACCTCTAATATTTGAGTCTGTGTTCTAAAGATGACCCAAAGTGGGTATATTCCATGAAAACTACTAAACATGCATGTCTGGCATATTTGGGCTGTTTTTCTCAAATATCATTAATTTGCTATCACTGCATTTTGTGGGAAAGGACAAGAGTAGGCAACCCAACCAAGATTATGGCTTAAAACATACCTGGTCAGAGAAAGGTTTTAGGGCAGAAAAGGCTGCCTGAGTGGTCCAAATATGTTTCAAATTAGGGGTCTCTTCCATCTTTGAAATATCTGTCTACTCATTTCTCAGGAATAACAAATATAATTATGAAGTGATATAATATACTCTCAGTATACAAAGATTATGTGTGTAAATCTTTTTTCTTTTTTTCTTGTTTATATATATATTTTTCTTCATGTGTATAAATCTTATATGGATTTTTATATGAATAAGGGAAGTAACTGGGTCATTTCTCTAGCGGTACAGATTTGCTGGAATCCTAAAATGATACATTCAATTCTGTGTTAATTGGTAAACAAACTACAAAATCTAATTTCCATGATATTTTCCTTTCACTCACCTTGATAAGGTATCTAGTTATATCTCTCCCAGCAATATCCAGTCTCCTGGTAAGATGAGGGAGAGAAAAGCCTTCATATACTGGGCAAATGTGAGTTACACCATCTCCAGAGTCTACCACTACACCAGTCAATAAACCTGCATAAAAGCCAAGGGGTTTTAAATAAAAAATCAAATCAAAAAATCAAAGCCAGCAAGTTCCAAATAGAGTAGGGAAGCCAAAACAGAAATGTAACCAACTAGAAGCCAGAATTTATTATTTACTTATTTTGCAGTTTGTTTCTATAATGCGTAAGTATTAAGGCAAGTGCTCTCTTTTAAAACTTTTAGTCTACTATCATGTGCTGCCCAAGGAGATGAGAAGAAACAGACCTTGAGAATGAGCACTGAAAAACAGAACTTTTTTTTTTTTTTGAGTCAGGGTCTGGCTCTGTCATCCAGGCTGGAGGAGTATGGTGACTCATCTAGGCTCATTGCAATCTCAATTTCCTGGGTTCAAGTCATACCTCCCACTTTAGTCTCCTGAGTAGCTGGGACTACAGGCATGTGCCACCATGCCTGACTAATTTTTGTATTTTTTTTTAGTAGAGACAGGGTTTCGCCATGTTGCCCAAGCTGGTCTAGAACTCCTGGCCTCAGTGATCTGTCTGCCTTGATCTCCCAAAGTGCTGGGATTATAGGTGTGAGCCACCACACCCAGCAGAACATGTTCTTAAAGCTCTGTACAATTCTTTATTTTTATCAAATTTAATCTTAGTTTTGAATATACTACAAACAACATATATTGTGTTGTTCTGGAAAAGTTCCTATTCATACTAGACAGCTAGAAATCTAAGAATAATGAAACTTGGCTAGCCAAAGCATCACTTCGATTATGCACTGGAAACCTTATAATAAAAGGCAAAGTCTCCATGTTGCTGGGGAAAAAAAAAAGGTAATGTCAGTTAAGCCTTAAACAAAAGAATAGCAAGGCTGGGCGTGGTGGCTCAAGCCTGTAATCTCAGCACTTTGGGAGGCCGAGGCGGGTGGATCACGAGGTCGAGAGATCGAGACCCACCTGGTCAACACGGTGAAACCCCGTCTCTACTAAAAATACAAAAACTTAGCTGGGCATGGTGGCGCGTGTCTGTAATCCCAGCTACTTGGGAGGCTGAGGCAGGAGAATTGCCTGAACCCAGGAGGTGGTGGTTGCGATGAGCCGAGATCGCGCCATTGCACTCCAGCCTGGGTAACAAAAGCGAAACTCCATCTCAAAAAAAAAAAAAAAAAAAGAATAGCAAAGAAGCTGCTTTGTTTCCCATGTTTCCTCAACCTCTTGGGCTCAAGTGATCCTCTCACCTCAGTCTCTCAAGTAGCTGGGACTAGAGGCGTGTACCACCATGATCCAGCTAATTTTATTTTCTATAGAGATAGGGATCTCACTATGTTACCCAGACTGGTTTCAAATTCCGGAGATCCAGCAATTTGCCCACCTTCTCTTCCCAAAGTGCTAGGATTACAGGCATGAGCCACCATACCTGGCCAAAAAAACTTTTTTTAACTCGCATTTTTTAATTTAAAAAATTATTTTAACCAGAATATGCAGTATCTATAACATGTCAGTATTACCTTATTATATTTTCATCCCTAGACTCTCTCCCTTTTTCTTATACAAATTTGCATGTATTGTATTTAATTATAACAATTTGTCTTGGGAAACATTTATTAAAACTATTTCCTTTTTAAGTTGATATAATTTGTCTTTCCTTGATGTAATAAGCCTCATAAAACTCATATACTGCCCTTTAATGTTGTCCTTTAACAGGCTTTCCATTGCAAAAAAGAAAAAAAAAAAGGAGGAATCCACACCATCATCAATTTAAAAATACTCCCAGTAACATCGACTAATGCAAGAATTTACGTTTTATTTCCCACAGAGCCCTTCCTACCAACCTCACCTTTTTTTCTACCACTTCCATCAGGTCACATCCTGGCTTTTTTCAAACACACTTGATTCATATTCAGTGCCACACCCTTTTCCCACTGGATTATCCCTTTAAGTGCCTAAAAGACTCCTTGGCACAGTATCTGACAAGCCAAGATATTCTCAGTAAGTTCCTGTTGAATTTTTAAGACCATAAAAAAAAAAAGAGCGCTCCTCACCTGGCCAATATTTTATTTCCAATAAATAGGAAGGCAGCTGAGCTGCTAATGGCAGTATCAAGAGAATGTAAGTAGTCCCCTTCATTAAACCCACCTCAAAAGTTAGAAATACACAAATGTTTACCTTCTCCTTTTAAATCTATTACGTATTTGACAGGCATGATTTTATGTTACCTTTTTGAATCTCTGTGTATTTTTTTGAACTCAAATTTAACAAATTCCATGTATAAAAAATTAAAATAGCAGCCAGGCGCAGTGGCTCACATCTGTAATCCCAGCACTTTGGGAGTCTGAGGCAGGCGGGTCACCTGAGGTTGGGAGTTGGAGACCAGCCTGGTCTCCAATTATTTAGTAGAGATGGAGAAACCCCATCTCTACTAAAAATACAAAATTAGCTCAGCGTGGTGGCACATGCCTGTAATCCCAGCTACTCGGGAGGCAGAAGAGTCTCTTGAACCTGGGAGGCGGAGGTTGCCGTGAGCCAAGACTGCAGATTGCACTCCAGCCTTGGCAACAAGAGCAAAACTCCATCTCGAAAAAGAAAAAGAAAATAGCTAGGCCGGGCATGGTAGTTCACACATGTAATCCTAGCACTTTGGGAGGCTAAGGTGGGTGGATCACCTCAGATCAGGAGTCCGAGACCAGCCTGACCAACATGGAGAAACCCTGTCTCTACTAAAAATACAAAATCAGCCGGGCATGGTGGTGCATGCCTGTGATGCCAGCTACACGGGAGGCTGAGGCAGGAGAATCACTTGAACCCAGGAGGCAGAGGCTGCAGTGAGCCGAGATCACACCATTGCACTCCAGCCTGGGCAACAAAAGAAAAATTCCATCTCAAAAAATAAAAAAATAAAAAATAAAATAAAATAGCTTAAAAAAAGAGAGCATCCTACTTTTTTTTAAATTAAGTCTTTTTTAACCTTAAATCCTTATTTAGCAAAGCAAATAAAAATGTATGTGAAATCTTGACACATTTTAGAAATTGTGAAAGTATTTCAAAGTATGGTGTATAAGTAATGTAGTTTTCTGGGACTTATAAATTATTGAGAAACCTAATTCTCTGACATAAAACATACATAATAAATGTTGGATGAATTGATTTTTCTAACAGCACCTACCTTGAGCATACAAAGTCAGAACTGCTTGGATGGCTACATATACACCAGAAAACTGGTAAGTTTCAAACATTACCTGTAAATGAAGATAGAAAAAAAAATCTGGTACTCAGAAAATTACATAATATATGTTTTCTCATGGTCACAGAGTGAATTAGTTGCTCAAAATAGAATCAAATGGAACTGAAAGGGTCTTCCATTTTCATCAGCTTCTCTTGCTTCTTATTAAAGTCCTGCTGCCACAGAGCTCCAAGTCTGAGGACAGATTTCTGGATACATACTAAGTCCCCAAGCATTTCATAAGGGCAACAAAGCAAAGATTTCTTCGTGTATTAGTTAATGACTAATTAGTGTGAAAGAAAGCTCTCTGCATTGAACAAGACTTTCTTAATTGATGTCCCTTAAGGGAAATACACACACACACACACACACACACACACACACACACACACACAGAGATAAAGTCTCACTCTGCTGCGCAAAATCTAAAGGAAATTATTTTTATTATCTTTATCCATGGCAACAGTAAGAAAAAAGAAAATATTTGATTTAACATGATATCACAGTAATACATCTATGCATATCCTGCATAAAAACTCACCTCTACAATCTTCTCTCTGTTTTTGGTTGGGTTCATAGGAGGTTCTGTGAGTAAGATTTTACAATTTCTGGTATCTATATTAAGTTTCTCTGGTCCAAATGTGTAGTCCCACAGGTGTTTCATGTCATCCCAATTTCGTACTATGCCATTTTCCATAGGGTAGTTCACTTCTAACATTGATCGTAATTCACTTGCCTCATCACCAACCATAAGGTCCTAGAAAATTATGTCAAAGCTTTAGATCAAATTTTTCATATTTAAGAAAACTTGGGAATAATTTTAATCTTTCTGATACTTGCAAAATAAAGCTTTTAATCCCACAAGTTAGAAAAGCTTTTCTATCAAGAACAATGTCTTAGAAAGTTTAATCATGGATAATAAATTTTTATGTACAATGTGGTTTAAATCAATAAATTGACCTTACCTTTAACACAAATGTTTCCAAAAGAAGAGCATTAGCACAAATAAACCCCACATTTTCATATTTTGGAGGGATTTGTATGAGGTTTCATCTGTTTCTTTTGCTCAATTGTTCAAAAAATAAAGCCTGTGATATGTGAAATAGCACATCAGGGGGAAGAAAGCTTGCAGAAAAATGCTCAATTCATGCAGCACATTTCTTTGTACTAAATATCAAAATGATAAATGTTAAGTACTATAAAGCATAATGAAAGAAGCAAAAAATAAAATTATTACTCTATTATAATGCATATATACACCAACTATCTTATAAATGTCACAAACTTCTATCTACATATGCCTGAATTAGAATTTAAACTGTTTCTACATATGCCTCACCAGGGTGAATGAGAATTTATAGAGATACAAGTCTTGTTTCCAATGAGAACGATGACCCACATTTGAAAGTCACATTTTGTATATATAAGACTAAGGATGTCCTAGCATTTAGACTCATTTTAGAAAACAGATCTTTTTTTTTGTTTATATTCCTTTTTATTTTATTTCTTTTATTTTTTTTAAAGACAGCGTTTCACCATGTTGGTCAGGCGGGTCTCAAACTCCTGGCCTCAGGTGATCCACCCGCCTTGGCCTCCCAAAGTGCTGGGATTACAGGTGTGAACCACCGTGCCCGTCCTCTGTTTATATTTCTGTAGATATTTGCTATAATATGTTAAGTTTTAATTATGGGGAGATAAAGAAAAGAAGCAGCAAAATTAACATGAGATTTTTTTTTTTTTTTTTTTGAGACTGAGTCTTGATCTACTGCCCAGGCTAGAATGCAGAGGCATAATCTCAGTTCACTGCAACCTCTGCCTCCCGGGTTCAAGCAATTTTCCTGCCTCAGCCTCCAGAGTAGCTGGGATTACAGGCACCTGCCACCATGCCCAGCTAATTTTTGTATTTTTAGTAGAGATGGGGTTAGCCAGGCTGGTCTAAAATTCCCAACCTCAGGTGATTCACCCACCTTGACCTCCCAAAGTGTTGGCATTACAGGCATGAACCACAGCACATGGCAACATGAGATGTTTTATAACTAAGGCTTGAAAAAATATATGAGCTTTAAATTAAAAAAAAAAAAGATCACAGATAAAACCAACTTGAGGACTCTAATAAAAAACAAACAGATCTCTGGAAAATCCACTAAAAGCAACATAAAAAAAGTACAACAAATTTAAAAACAGATGCTAGAAATGTTCAGTAAAATTTTTGTTGCAATTTCTTATGAAGTTGATGTATCATAATTTACTAACTTATTACTCAAATTGTTGAATTATTAAATGTTTAGACTCCTTTTTTTTTTTTTTGAGACGGGGTCTCACTCTGTCACCCAAGCTGGAGTGCAGTGGTGCCATTATGGCTCACCACAACCTCAACCTCCCCAGGGTCAGGTGATCCTCTCAACACAGCCTCCTGAGTAGCCGGGACTATAGGATACATGCCCAGCTAGTTTTTGTATTTTTAGTACAGATGGGGTTTCACCATGTTGCCCAGGCTGGTCTTGAACTTCTAGGCTCCAGAGATCCACCCAACTCAGCCTTCCAAAGTGCTGGAATTACAGGCATGAGTAACCACGCCCACCCAAATGTTTAGATTCTTCTATGAGGAATATGCAAAACTAAAAATCTGTATTTGTGAATTCTAATTCATGACATACATATGTTGAAGTATTCAGGGAGAAGTATACTGATATCTGCAACTTACTTTGAAATCCATCAAAAAACAAGATGTACCGATGAATGGATAAACAGATAGGTAATAAATCAGTATGATATATATTAATGTCAAAATCCAGGTGATGAATATACAAGTTGCATTGTAAAATCGTTTCAATATTGCTATGTATTCTTAATACTGCTTAATACAGTGTTAGTGGGAAAATCTATACCTACAATTATGTATACTATTTTTGTTACCAACTTTCCTCTATGTCTTTGTGTTATACAAGATAACAGATTAGATAATTAGATAATATAATCAGTATTATTTCAATCAATTTGAAATAAATCTGATCTGATTTGAACAGAAATTTACTTTTTATTTCATGCATGAAAAGGGGCTTACATTATATGACCCAATGCCAACTCTAAATAAATGCCTCATGTATCTACTTCTAGGACCACACATACTATACAAGGATTAACTGAAAGAAATGTTTGGCATTGAGTATCCTTACCTTCCTCAGAACATTTAAAACGGAGTATTAACTTATTTGAGAAGTACAAAGTTTGACTATTCAAGCTATCCAATTAAAAAATTTTCATGTCTAAAATTTTAATTAAAAAATCCTAGAACTATGTACAGCCTTCCCCACCTTTGACTTTCAGAAACTAAAAATGCTAAGTGTTATATAACTTGCCTTCATCACTCAGAACCAAGTTACTAGTGATCAGATCAGACCTCAGGTTTTAACCACCTGCCCCACCACCGAACATCACCTATCTCAAAGAATTTTAAAAAACAAAAAAATCACAGTAACCGAGAGGCTGTTTCAAAGGTATTTATACTGCATGGAAAGCAGGTAGTAGGGATTATATTTGCCAAGAATCATTTTGAACAATGTCACCTCAAATTAGAATACAGAGAAAACTCAAGTTCAAAAGCACAATTAAATCCCTAGAAGAAAATTCCACTGAAAACATTTGTTTGTTTAATTACCTAATAGAGGCAGCGTCTTGCTCTGTTGCCCAGGCTGGAGTGCAGTGGCCTGTCATTGACCACTGCAGCCTCAAACTTCTGGGCTCAAGTAATACTCCCACCTTAAACTCCCAAGTAGCTTGGGGGGCAGACACATACTACTATGACTGGTGACTTTTTAAAAAACTTTCTGTAGAGATGGGATCTTGCCATATTGCCCAGGCTGGTCTCAAACTCCTAGGCTCAAGCTATTCTCCCACCTCAATCTGCCAAAGTGCTGGGATTACAGGCATGAACCACCTCACTCAGTCAAAAATTTCTGTTTAAATAAGACTACACTGTTCTCTACAAGCACACCCTTTTCTTTTTTTTTTTTTTTTTGAGATGGAGTCTCACTCTGTCATCCAGGCTAGAGTGCAGTGGTATAATCTCGGCTCACTGCAACCTTTACCTCCTGCATTCAAACAATTCTCCTGCATTCAAACAATTCTCCTGCCTCAGCTCCTAAGTAGCTGGGACTATAGGCGAGTGCCACCCGCGCCCGGCTAATTTTTGTATTTTTAGTAGAAACAGGTTTTTACCCTGTTGGTCACGCTGGTCTTGAACTCCTGATGTCATGATCCACCTGGCCTCGTGATCCACCCGCCTTGGCTTCCCAAAATGCTAGGATTACAGGCACAAGCCATCTCGCCCAAAAAACACATCCTTTTCTTAATCTCATTAGCATGTTAACACAAATGCATGATCTTTTATTTAGGATATAGAAATTTCCTTTTAAATGTTTTTGTTTATTCAAAAGAAAATTTTACTAAGTTACTATTACTAGTTAAAATATATTAGAAGTGCCTGATTTTTGTCAAAGATTCTTCCAAACAATATTAAAAACAAATCTGAAAAGTGTCTATGACAGAAGCACTTAGACTATCATGGAAAAACGCAATGAAAGAGTTAAACATCTGAGATAAGCAAAAGGCACTGCACAATGTTATTTATTTGGGGGGAAATCTGTTGTTTATAGAAAAGCTTTACCTTTTTCTTATTTCTCCTCAGATAATTTTGTCAAATCTGCTCATCAGTAAGGATGATATGGAACGAATTATGTTTTTCTATCTATGGTTCATTTACATATTAAAATTTTGCTCAGTTTATTAAGTGCATATATGATACCATACTAGATGCAAATATATATATATATACAGGCTATGACAGTCAATGTTCAATTTAACACTGGTCAATAAAGTGAATTTATTCAAATGTAACAACTTTAATTTTCTGGATCACACGTATCCTATATAAAGCCATTTGCACAATACATTCCATTTTAATTATAACATTCATCTACAAGAAAAAACAAGGAAAACAATTCAAAACTATGTTAGTAATTAGTTCTTGTTTGGTCCATTGTATGCACTCAGGAAAGTACAGGACTTAATTAGTTGCTACCAAATTGAAGCAATGAAAAAGGTTAAAAATCAAAGTACTTAAAATAAAAATATGGAATAACCCCCCTCCCCAATACTAAAGGGACACAAAACAACAACTACTGTCCCACCAAGCAAAAGTGGAAAACAAACAGAGCATGTGTGTAACCTCACTTACCATCTTTTTGTTATTCTACTTCAACGGGTCAAGAAAGGTGAAGAGAGAGAAGGTAGAAGTAAGAGTCAGAAAAGGCCTAAATAAAATCCTCACTGAAATGTTTAAACATACAAGCAATAGAGACAATTAGGTTGAGGTCAGATGCAGTACTACTATATTTAATGGAGTTAATAATTAGGGCCAAATTAACATGGACAGTTATTCCTGAATGAAAATTAACTCATTAAACGATTTAAATTTCCATTTTTCAGTCTACCACATTTTAGCTAACAAGACACAAAAAGTATAAGTCAAAATAATAAGCACAGGAATTCCAGAAAGCAAGCTTCTTTAATTCAATACTGAATTTAAGAACTTTAAGAAAAATAAACGATAACAGCAAAGGTCTAGCTGAGTAGGTAGAGAGTCAGACAGCTCAGGGCTGTTTTTCCAAGCTCTAGTATTCAAGTTAAATTTCATCTGACACAGGTATCTTTTGCTGTTTTCTACTGGAAGAACAATTTAACTTGATAGGCTTACAAGACTGCAAAGAGTGAACAGAATTGAGCCAATAGAATACAGAATGACAAACCATATAAGCAAATGCTACTAGGGAATTCCTTGGCAAAAAATGTTTTATTAGCATATTGACAAGTCTGATTTCCATCATTTGGCCTTAAAAACAAAGAAAGTGGGCATGAAGAATGTGTAGTTATTTGTGCCCATGTTGGAAAATAAATTGGCTATACATGATATTTCTTCATATCTCAAAAATTTTATTGTCCATCAGTATATAAAAAAGCCATTCTTTTTGGCTTCTTAAAAAACCTGACACTGAATAAAAAGTATAGCCTTCAACTTCATTGAACAGTTTATCCTTATCACTATTATTAGCTAATTTCGAGTCAAAGTTCATTTAGGGTAGAATTCATTCAGAATGAAAGCAGTTCACAAAAAGCAAGTAAGGAATCCCACAAATATTCTAAAAGCTCCTTAAAAAGGAAAAACTTACATTGAGTGTCCCATTTTATTTTTATTTTTTTGTAACAGGAGAGGCCAGAATAATTCACTACTTTAAATCTTTTTTAAAAAAAAAACTAACACACAACCCAAGTTTCAGCTTGTATTTTTATTCACTGTTTAACTCAACTCTCTGTTCCAAAAGCAGAAAGCAACATAGCACATCTCTACTGCCTATTACAACCTTCCTACATCTATCAAACAAATGTCCCAAAGAGACACACCCTAACACATATTTCAAATGACTCAAAACCTTACACTGAAGGCTTCCTGAAGACTATCCAGATAGGACCAACAATGCTAGCGTGTTCACAAATAACTCACTAAAAAAAGACCCTAAATTCTACTGCATTCTGTATAACTTGATCCCTAGGTCACCCGAAGAACTTAAAGCCAATTGGTGACCACTGTCCTTGGACTGTTCTCTTTCTTCTCAAATACTGTAACTCCCACTTGATTTCTGATCCCTTTAATATGGGAGAAAAATCTATCATCTTTTCATGTAGCCTTTCACGTTAAATACAGCAAGTAGGCAATGAAAACTTTCCTTTCTATTTATGGTAAGATATATAACGTGAGGCCAAATAAAGGCTTGCACGGCTTCCTTCTGCACATTATGGAAATAAGTTATATTATGAAAAGAGGAATCAATGAGATTTACGCCCTGTGCTTACCTAAATGGCTATATAAAAAAGTAGAGGGATCAGGCCATAAAAACATGGAATGAAAAAGTCTAAGCTGCCAAAGAGATACTCACATACAATGACAAATATATGCAATTGAAAGACATGAAAATACCAGACTGATTTCTTTTAAAAATTATATTATGTAATAGGACTTTAAGTCACTAACACACTGTTTCACATTAATGTAGTAAACTTAACTATTTTACTCCAAAGAGTAATGGCATCAAGCCATACATAAACAAAACCAGATGAAATTAACTTCAATTTTTGTGCCCCTGTTCAGGTGTTGATATAAATTAAAAATATGAGAACTTCTGCCCTCCCCTTTGCTTTTCATGGCAACATATTTTAAAACTACTTAAAAGAACTGTTAAACTACTTTTATAAGAACATCTCACATGTCTTGATTATCATTTATCAATAAATAAAATATTACCTTGATTTCAATGTTTCCCACTTTGGTGGTTGATCTGATAATAGGTCTTCCAACCAAAGCTGGGAAGATGTGTTCTGGAAAGTTAGAGCCTGCATAACCACACTTCACAAACTGGAATGAAAGAGTAAAATAAAAGTGGGTTAGCATCAGGTTATTTACTATATTTATTTTAAGAGAGCATCTGAAAAATACCACTTTGCATTTATATAACATTTTAACTTTTGGTGCTTTTAGTCCACCCAAAGTAGCTACCCAATCTATCACATCATCTCCTTTTCACTTCTTTCATGGCAATGACTACTTCCAGGTTTCATGTTTATTTACTACTTCATTAGTGCCTAAGTCCCCTCACTAGAGTGAAAGCCTCCTAAGAGCAGGGAGCTAAGCTGAGTGGTTCGTGCTGGAAGCCGAACAGAGATCCTGGCACACAATGGTCACTCCAAAAGGATCTGTGGAATGGACCAATTTGCTGAACAAATGCTAAGTATTTTTTTTTTTTGAGACGGAGTTTCGCTCTTGTTACCCAGGCTGGAGTGCAATGGCGCGATCTCGGCTCACCGTTCTTCCACCTCCTGGGTTCAGGCAATTCTCCTGCCTCAGCCTCCCGAGTGAGTAGCTGGGATTACAGCCATGTGCCACCATGCCTAGCTAATTTTGTATGTTTAGTACAGAAGGGGTTTCTCCATATTGGTCAGGGTGGTCTCAAACTCCGATCTCAGGTGATCTGCCTGCCTCGGCCTCCCAAAGTGCTGGGATTACAGGCATTAGCCACCGTGCCCGGCCAAATGCGAAGTATTTTTAAAGAGAGAAATGTGAGAAAAATGAACAGAACTAAAGCTCCAATTCTAAAGCAGGCTTTCATTCATTTTGGGCAAATCACTTAGGCAATGACTTCTTCCAAAGTGGGAAAACCAAGTGGCATTTAAATTAATACCACCATATTAAGAAAAGAAACATTTAGTAGGCATTTTTGGCTATTTATTTCTTTCAAGACAAAGTTTCACTCTTTTTACCCAGGCTAGAGTGCAATAAGCACAATCTCAACTCACTGCAACCTCCGCCTCCCATGTCCAAGCAATTCTCCTGCCTCAGCCTCCCAAGTAGCTAGGATTACAGGTGCCCAGCACCATGTCCAGCTAATTTTTGTATTTTTAGTAGAGAAGGGGTTTCACCATGTTGGCCTCAAACTCCTGACATCAAGTGGTCCACCTGCCTTGGTCTCCCAAAGTGCTCGGATTACAGGGGTGAGTCACCACACCCAGCATTAAGTTTCAAAAATTTTTGAAGAGATGGGGTCTCACTGTATTGCGCAGGCTGGTCTGGAATGGCTGGCCTCCAGTGATCCTGAGTTGCTAGGATTACAGGCATAAGCCACTGTGACTGAAAGTTATAAATTCTTGTATAGTCTATTTACGCCGGGCCTACTGGCTCACATCTGTAATTCTGGCACTTTGGGAGGCCTAGGCGGGCAGATCACTTGAGCCCAGAAGTTCGAGACCAGTATGGGCAACACGGCAAGATGCCAAAATAATAATAATAATAAAACTACAAAAAATTTAAAAATTAGCCAGGCATTGTGGCATGTGTCACATGTAGTCCCAGCTACTCCAGAGGCTGAGGCGGGAGGACAGCCTAGGACATTCTGCCATTCAGAATTTCACTTCTCTCTTTTTTTTTAATTTTTGAGACGAAGTCTTGCTCCATCGCCCAGGCTGAAGTGCAGCAACCTCTGTCTCCTGGGTTTCAGCAATTCTCCTGCCTCAGGCTCCCAGGTAGCTGGGACTACAGCTGCATGCCACCATGCCTGGCTAATTTTTGTATTTTTAGTAGGGTTTCACTATTTGGCCAGGCTGGTCTTGAACTCCTGATCTCATGATCCTCCCACCTCAGCCTCCCAACATGCTGGGATTACAGGTGTGAGCCACTGCACCTGGCCCCACTTGCCTTTTATAAATAGACTTTTCCAAATATATTAGAATCATGACAACCAGATTAAAGCTTTATGAAAAATCTGTCTGAAATGAGACAGGTTCACACTCTCAATGCCATCTCAATTCCTATCCTCTCGCCTCATGTTTACACTTTATTTATAGAAACTACATAAAACATACTATTCAGATGTTTTCTCCCAACCACACAAAACCTAGTCTTAGTTTACCATTGAGCCACCAAGGTAAGGGCATTTTTCAGGTACAGTTACCCATTTTTAAAAGTATAATACAATTCCTCTGGATTACTTTTTAAGGCAGAAGTCAGCATGATATGTAATACATAACCCACTTCATCACAGCTACTTCCTCTTGGCAGTGGTTGATAGTGATGAACTAGAATATACTTCCCACCCTTAAAATGAACAGAATTCAAGAGCATTTGTTCATTTCTTCTCAATGTCTTCTTAAATAGTGTGACCTAAGACTTGGGGAAAAAATTACCTCAGAGAAAAAGGGTAACATCTAGTATTTTTTTGTATTTTCAAACACACACACACACACACACACACACACACACACACACTCTTCTCTCCCAAATCACAAACTCTCTTTCATCCTAAAGTCAAAATCCGGTTTACCTGATAGAAACTGAAATGAAATGGAAGAGTAAAGAATGTGTTCTTGTTATCCCAACCATATCCACAGTTCTGTATAACATTTGTCATCATCACCAACCTAATGTCAGTCATAATTTACACAAATATCTCAAATATAGGAATTAAATACTATTTAATATTAAATTATTATGCTTACCTCAAAGTAATAAACAGATATAGTCAAAAGGATCCATTTATTAGGATGAAAATGCTCACTTATATGGGTATAAATGATCTCAAAAAATATATAGAGTGAATGTATGAAAAGAGAATCTACTAGTTTGTAAGGGTCACTTTTAGCATGCTAAATGTAAATAAATAAGTTTACTACGTGAGAAATCATAAGAGAAGCTGGAGGTGGCAGGAAGAGCCTAGGATGGGGCATAGGTCAAATCCTAGTGCAGGGAAGAGGCTGCTAAGGTTGACATGTCTACCCTCTCCTTCAGAGCCACACACACTTGGGCACACAACAGGGCAAAGTGGCAAATAATCACATCACTCACAGTTTTCCGATTATAATAGTTCAGATGGGTAGTTCATGTCTTAAGATTCTTGTGAGTATATTTTAAGCAACAAAACATTTCCCAAGTTAGAAGACAAAAACTAAAATTCCTGAAACTATAAAAACAAATGTAAACCTACTATTACTTCTTCATAAAAAGAAAAAAAAATTGGCTTTTTATTTAAAGGTTATCAGTCACTTATTAAAAAAAATATTTATTCTGCTTGAGCAGTAGCTTACTGGAAGCAGATGCTGTAACAGAATTCAGCACGAGCTTTCCTACAGGGTATATATTAACCCATCAAAATAGCAAAAATCGCACTATTTCACATTACTTCAAATATGAAAGCATTAACAGTTATAATAACAGAACTAAAATAATTGGCTGGGAATGGTGACTCACACCTGTAATCCTGGCACTTTAGGAAGCCAAAGTGGGTGGACTGCTTGGGCCTAGGAGTTTGAGACCAGCCTGGGGCTACAAAGCAAAACCCAATTTCTACAAAAAAATACAAAAATTAGCCAGGCATGGTGATACATACCCATAGTCCCAGAAACCTCAAAGGCTGATGTGGGAGTATCATCTGAGCCCAGGAAGGTTGAGTATGCGTTGAGCCATGTTTGTTCTACTCACTCTGAGTGAGAGAGTGAGACCCTGTCTTTTAAAAAAAAAAAAAGGCTGGGCCTGGGGCTTTGAGAGGCCAAGTCAGGTGTATCATTTGAGGTCAGGAGTTTGAGAGCAGCCTGGCCAATATGGTGAAACTCCATCTCTACTAAAACTACAAAATTGGCTGGGCGTGGTGGTGCATGCCTGTAATCCCAGCTACTCAGGAGGCTGAGGCAGGAAAATTGCTTGAACCTGGGAGACAGAGGTTGCAGTGAGGTGAGATTCCATGAATGCACTCCAGCCTGGGTGATAGAGAGAGACACTATCTCAAAAATAATAATAATAAAATTAATTTTTTTCTTTTTTAATTATACTGGCTACTCTGGGCACTCTGCCACTGGGGTAATACTGCTCTGCAAGGAGCAGCAAAAATAAAAATTATAATTCTAAAATTATATTATTTTTTGTAGAGACAGGGGTCTCACAACCTAGGCCCAACCTCCCCAGGCTCAGGTGATACCCCCACATCAGTCTCCCAAGACAGGTTACTCAGCCTGGTCTTGAATTCCCAGCCTCAAGCAATCTTCCCACCCTTACCTCCCAAAGTTCTGGGATTATAGGCATCAGCCACTGTGCCTGGCCCTAATTTTTCAATAATATGAAAATGACAATCTGATTACTTCTGCAAAAAATAATAAGTATTTTTTTTAAAAATCTAGGCCAGGTGCAGTGGCTCACATCTGTAATCCCAGCATTTTGGGAGGCCGAGGTAGGTGGATCACCTGAGATCAGGAGTTAAAGACCAGCCTGGCCAGCATGGTAAAGCCCAATCTCTACCAAAAATACAAAAAATAGCCAGGTGTGGTGGTGTGCACCTGTGATCTCAGCTACTCAGGAGGCTGAGGCAGGAGAAGAGCTTGAACCCAGGAGCTGGAGGCTACAGTGAGCCAAGATCCCACCACTGCACTCTAGCCCGGGTGACAGAGGGAGACACCATCTTAAAAAAAAAAAAAAATCTAAACATGATATGATAAAGTACAAAGAAAACATTATTTTCTAAACTATCATTGATATCATCTTAATCCCTCAAATTCCTCCTCCATGTCAATCATTTTAAAACTTAGTGACTTTGTTCTTTCATTGTGTGCCTAAAGGCTGTGTTTAAGAAATAGCTTTTACCATATATAGTTTCCTCTTCATAGCAGTGTGGTTTAAACTAGTTCCCTTACTTCCCACTGAGTCATCAAATGGTAAGAACAGTATAATGTTCTGTCAGGCACAAATGAAAAATTTCATCTACATCTGCTCTAAAAGTACATTTTTTTCTCTTCAAAAAAATAACCTGGAATTTCTAAAGCCCCATTTGGACCTAATTTAATTTTTATTTTCCCCTTACTAATTTTATCTGATGATATTGATGTATTTAGTAATTAAACTGCACAGTGACTATTCTTATCTTAGGCCACCAAAATATTTATTCTACTTATCCCAAAGCATATTACACGGTAAAACCATATTTGGTTTTGATTTGTTTCTGTTTCAAACACTACTAAATTAAACATATAAACTAGCAAAGCCTGATAAAGCAGGCCACAATCAACTACAAATGTCAATTATATAAATGCAAATCCAATTATTCTGGTACTATAACCTTCTCTGTATGACTAGACCTTATTAAGCACTGTACTAGCAACATAGCAAGCACTGGGGAAACCTTCATTTTGTTGGTGATCTAACTCACTGCTGATGAAATCTCCCAAGTCTTATCTCCAAGATAAACAACACCAGGGGCCTGGGCCCAGCTCTTGAAGGAGACCCAAACCTAGAGTTTCACAGACCTCTTGATTTTCACCTATCTGGACCAGCTGACTCCAGAAGGAGGTTTGAATGGTTAAAATCCACATAAATTATTGGATCAGATGAGTTTTCCTCCTCTGGGCAACCCTAAGGAGACACTGGTCAAGCTGGGAGATAGAAAATTGAGCAGGACCAACATCAGGCACGTTATTGTAAGAACAAACTTGTTCCCAGGCAAGCCTGTCCAACCCATGGCCCATGAGCTACATGAGGCCCAACACAAATTCACAAACTTTCTTAAAACATTGTAAATTTTTTTGGGCCATTTTTTTAGTTCATTAGCTATCATTAGTGTTAGTGTATGTTATGTGGCCCAAGATAATTATTCTTCTTCTAACATGGCCCAGGGACGCCAAAAGATTGGACACTCCTGTCCTAGAATATTCAATATGGGTCTGCCAGAGAGGTTTAAAAAAAAAAAAAAAAAAAATCAACGTTTCAAAAAGCCTATAATTTTATTTTTATTTTATTTTTTACTAGATATGGGGTCTTGTTATATTAACCCAGGCTGATCTCAAACTCTTGGCCTCAAGAAATCCTCTCATCTCAGCTTCCCAAAATGCTGGAATTACAGGCATGAGGAACCGCACCCAGCCAGCCTACCATTTTAAAACCTAAGGTGTGTAAGGAACAAAAGAGAAAACTTTAGGGTAACAACTATTTCCATAACTTCTTCAAAAATTACATCTGAATATCTTCTTGAACATTTAATTATAAAGGAATCATTATAACTTCAGGTACCTAAATACAATCAAGATGACTATGTCTACAAGTGGTAAGAAATATACAATCTAATTGATTCCTAGTTCTCTACATACTACATACTCAGAACTATCACAGCATTCCTGTTATATGATTCACATATTTTATCACCACTGTTTCTTCGGTTGAAACCAATCATGCCCATAGAAAATCTGGATAAAATTTAAAAATAACTAGAAACATAACAACAAATTTTTATTTGAATTAACTACACTCACTTTTTTCATTTATATCACAGCAACTGATCATTTGTATTAGAAAAAGGATCTTAAAAATATGGATTCAACATAAGACTAATCAATAATATTACAACCAGCTTTCTTTTTTTTGCGATGGAGTCTCACTCTGTCACCCACGCTGGGGTGCAGTGGCGTAATCTCGGCTCACGGCAACCTCTGCCTCCCAGGTTCAAGCAATTCTCCTGCCTCAGCCTCCCAAGTAGCTGAGATTCCAGGCATCCGCCACCATGCCTGGCTAATTTTTGTATTTTTAGTAGACACGGGGTTTCACCATGTTGGCCAGGCTGGTCTCGAACTCCTGGCCATCAAGTGATCTTCACACCTCGGCCTCCCAAAGTGCTGGTATTACAGGCATAAGTCACCGCGCCTGGCCTAAAATCAGCTTTCTAATGTTAGCTAAACTAACAGAGGCCAGGCACGGTCTTTCAAGCCTGTGGGAGGTCAAGGCAGGTAGATCCCAAGGTCAGGAGATCTAGACCATCCTGGCCATGGTGAAACCCCATCTCTACTAAAATACAAAACATTAGCCGGGCATGGTGGCAGGCACCTGTAGTCCCAGCTACTTAGAAGGCTGAGGCAGAGGAATCGCTTGAACCCAGGAGATGGGAGGTTGCAGTGAACTGAGATTGTACCACTGCACTCCAGCCTGGTGACAGATCAAGACTCCATCTCAAAAACAAAACAAAACAAAAACTACTAACGGATTAGTAACGTAACATTAGCTTATGATAGCTGGGTGCAGTGGCTCAAGCATGTAATCCTAGCACTTTAGGCGGAGGTGGGCAGATCTCTTGAGCCCAGGAGTTCAAGACCAGCCTGGGTAACATAGGGAGGCCCAGTCTCTACAAAAATAAAACATTAAGGCCTGCATAGTGGCTCACACCTGTAATCCCAGAACTTTGGAAGGCCAAGGTGGATGGATTACCTGAGGTCAGGAGTTCAAGGCCAGACCCTGTCTCTACTAAAAATGGAAACATTAACTGAGTGTGGAGGCACAGGCCTGTAATCCCAGCTACTAGGGAGGCTGAGGCAGGAGAATCGCTTCAGCCTGGGAGAAGGAGCTTGCAGTGAGCCGAGATTGCGCCACTGCACTCCAGCCTAGATGATAGAGAAAACTTTCATATGCAGATACAGGTTTGTGGACATACATTTTTACTAAAGAACACATACTTAAACTGAATCATTCTAAAATCTTTTTCAACTTAACAAATCTTAACCATGTTTCCATAGCAGTGGATCTTTTAAAAAGTATTACATTTTGAATAACTGTCCCATTATATATATTATATATTTTTTAATTTTTTATTTTTTGAGACTTAGTCTCACTCTGTCTCCCAGGGTGGAGTGAGTGGCATGATCTCGGCTCACTGCAACCTCCGCCTCCCAGGTTCAAGCGATTCTCCTGCCTCAACCTCCTGAGTAGCTGGGATTACAGGTGCCCAACACCATGTCCAGCTAATTTCTGTATTTTTAGTAGAGACACGGTTTCACTATGTTGGCCAGGGTGGTCTCAAACTCCTGACCTAACGTGATCTGCCCTCCTCAGCCTCCCAAAGTGCTGGGATTACAGGCATGAGGCACCGTGCCTGGCCTCATTATGTTACCACTTTTTATTCTAGTCCATTTTTAACACAGTTCAGATGAAGCTGGCATAACTATTGCTTGTAAAATTCTGTAACAAATCTAATCAAAGGCATTATTACGGCAGTAAATACCAGCTTTTTTTCCCCTCAACAATTCAGATTCCAAAATGTTTTGTTCAAGTAAAATGTATTTTAATTCATATATTATATTTATGGGAGGGGAGAAAAGTCATAAAATGTTGCAACATTAAAATGGTTAGAAATCATCACATCAGTCATCCAGAGTAAGTAATATTGCCATCTTCTAATTTGCTGACTTTGCTACCCGAAACAAATTTTTTTAAAATCTGGCGAGAGAGGTTCGAAACAACCTTCTTTCTTTTTTTGTTTTATTGAGACAGTTTCACTCCTGTCGACCAGGCTGGGAGTGCACTGGCGCATCTCAGCTCACTGCAACCTCTGCTTCCCAGCCTCAAGCGATTCTCCTGCCTCAGCCTCAGCCTCCTGAGCAGCTGGGATTACTGGCATGCGCCACCACGCCCGGCTAATTTTTGTATTTTTAGAACAGACGGGCTTTCACCACATTGGCCGGGCTAGTCTTGAACTCCTAACCTTACGTGATCCGCCCGCCTCGGCCTACAAAGTGCTGGGATTACAGAAACAACTTTCAAATAGTTTCTAAATCAGTGCTTTGGTCAGATTTTACCTTTTTTTAATCTTAAAGTCTAATATTACCTTTATTATGAGACTAAGGGGGAAAGGGAAGCTGGGGGCGGGTAACCAACGCTAATTAACTTCCCCTAAGGTCAGAGGAATTAACACTGCCGGGCCCTAGGTCCCCAAATCATCCAATGGAACATGCTGGTGTCCGCAGGCCTGTAGGGCCAAACCACCAGTTTGTAGAACAAAAAGTGAACGATGCGCAGCCGATCTGGACCCCCTTCCCTCGAAAAAAACAAACAAAAACAACAAACACAGCGAAAGGTCTGAGGCCCACACTCCTTGACAGCACTTCCTTTTTTTTTCTTTTTCTTTTTAAAGTAAACCCGTTTCCTGCTTCTCGTTTGGTATATCTTCAACTATACAGGAAGAGGAAGGCCTCTAGGTGTTTCTTCTTTTCATACACCGGCGGCCCTGGGGAAAAGAGCACTTCTCGAAACACACAAACCGAGCCTTTTACCCCTTCGGCCGCTTTAGTCTTTTACCCCTCGGTCCGCTTTAGCCCAATTGCCCCGCTCAAGCGCGGAGCCGGTCCCTGCCTAGCGGTCAGTAGGCTCCGCGTCCAGTGTTGGTCTCGCCAGCCGCCTCGACCCGGAAGGCTGCGGGGGCGGCAGGCTAAGGGGAGACCAGGGCACGGCCGACTCGCCCTCCTGCCCGCGAAGGTGGGAAGCACCGCCCCGCGCCCCTTGGCCCCTAGGGCCTGGAGGTGCAGCCCAGGGGGCCGAGGGCCCGCGCGCCCGCTGCACGTCCCCGCCTGCGCCTATGGCCGCCAAGGCCTCCTCGCCAGGCGCTTACCCCGGTGCCGTTGTCGCACACCACCACCTTCCTGCCCTGGCTGTCCATCGTCCGCCCAGGTGAGAGCCGCTGCCGCCCCACAACCTACAGCCGCCGCCGCCCGGCCGTTTTCTTTTCTTCCTCTCTCTTCGCGGCCCCTCCTTCGGCCTAACTTTTTTCCCCCAACAGGAAGTCGCCGCCCGGCTCCGCCCGTCATTTAGCTGAATGTCTGAGCGGAACGTGTGGGACGGGCGGGAAGCGCGACTGGCAGCGGTGAGCTCCAATAAAAAATGGAGAAGCTTCGAGGCGCCTCCCGCAGCTCCACTTCCGGCTCGGCTGTCACGGTCGTTTCCTACCCAGGTTCTTCCTCTCTGCTTCTAGTTCCCGGCGCTTCGCCGGGCGTTAATGGCGGCCAACGTTGTCGCGGGTCCTGCGGCTTTCTCCCTGAAATGTCACAGAAACTAAGGGCGCCGCTTAACGAACTGCAGAAGACGCAGGCAGGTGAAGGACACCGGTTCTGCGGTGGCATGGAATGTGGCGGAGAAGCCGGCGGGAAGGACCGGGAGCAAGCCTGGGAGGTCCTGGCCGACCCCACCATTGAACAGGGCTTGGTGTGTCATTGCTTCTAGGCCTTTTCAGCGGACAGAACTGGGATGCATACACACACGCTTATTTGAAATCATGCATTTGTTCCATACTCCAATCTCAGCCCACTCCTTTGCCCAAGTTGCTCTATGGTCAAGTGAGAGAGAGCAGGTGCCTGCATTTCCAGCCTTCTGGCTCACTGCCTCCTTCTTCCAGTAGTCCCATGTCTCTTCACACCTCTTCAGTACATGTACAGCTGTGAACCCAGAGCCTTGGCTTTGAAATCAGACAACTCCAGTTTCAAACGTGGTGCTGCCACTCACGAGTTTTGTAATTTTGGCATACCCCTGTCTGTGCATGGGAATAACTTCTATCTCCATGGATGTGGTGAGAATAAGTCTGAATAGAAGAAATGTTCATTCAGTGGTAGCTATTTCTTACTAATTCTGTTCTTTTGAACCTATGATTCTATCTACGATGCCTCATTTTTTTTCCTTTTTTTTTAAATTTTTTTATTTTTATTTTTTATTGGATTTTAGGTTTTGGGGTACATGAGCAGAGCATGCAAGACAGTTGCGTAGGTACGCACATGGCAGTGTGCTTTGCTTTGCTTCTCCCCTTCACCCACATTTTTTTCCTTTTTAAAAATAGGTTGGCAAACTTGTGCTCTGAGACCCAGCTTGTCACATCTTTGATGACAGCTGATATCCTCAGGATGTTCCTTACTCCCTTTCCTCGCTATTATTTTGCTATGAACATATGAATAACATTATTGTGCTTATTACATGCAACAAATATTTATTGGATGAATGACATTAAAATTCACATTTAAAATGCCATCCTTTTGAGAGCTGAGAACTAGAACTTTGCCTTCAACATGGCTGTATATGTTCAACAATAGAATAAAATGAATCGTGAACCCCCCAATCCAGTATTCTTTCTATAGTATAGCTGCCTCTCAGTTTTCACTGTTCTTTTAGTAGACTAGTGATTTTCAAACCTATATAAAAGCATAGAGTGCTTTATTCAAATTTAATCTTATATGAAACGCCAAACACATGGATAAATATAAATAGATAAATAAAGCTGCCATTTGTTGCAGTTGGAAATTTGAGAGGTTAGAATAGGTAGGAGGTCTCAGGAGAACATTTCTTCCCTTTATCTGCTTTAGTAGTGAGAGAAGTACCTCAGTCTGCGGAAAAGTTTGTTTGTTCATTAATTCCTTGAGTATAAAATCCATCTTATTTTTGTGGCTCTAGTGCTAGTGCTGTGCAATTTTCTTGAAAGTACATTTTATTGGTCTCAGCAAATTGAACTCAAGCATTTCTGTGTTCTTTTACTTTTCCTCTTTGTGGAATTAAATGGATTGCTAATTTTTATTTTATTTATTAAGTTTTTTATTACATTTTAGGTTTTGGGGTACATGTGCAGAACATACAAGACAGTTGCATAGGTACACACATGGCAGTGTGTTTTGCTTCCTTTCTCCCCTTTACCCACATTTGGCATTTCTCCCCAGGCTATCCCTCCCCAGCTCCCCCCCCCACTGGCCCTCCCCTTTTCCCCCCAATAGACCCCAGTGTTTAGTACTCCCCTCCCTGTGTCCATGTGTTCTCATTTTTCATCACCCGCCTATGAGTGAGAATATGCGGTATTTCATTTTCTGTTCTTGTGTCAGTTTGCTGAGAAAGATGTTCTCCAGATTCATCCATGTCCCTACAAACGACACGAACTCATCATTTCTGATTGCTGCATAATATTCCATGGTGTATATGTGCCACATTTTCCCAATCCTGTCTATCATCAATGGGCATTTGGGTTGATTCCAGGTCTTTGCTATTGTAGACAGTGCTGCAATGAACATTCGTGTGCATGTGTCCTTATAGTAGAACGATTTATAGTCCTTTGGATATATACCCAGTAATGGGATTGCTGGGTCAAATGGAATTTCTATTTCTAAGGCCTTGAGGAATCGCCACACTGTCTTCCACAATGGTTGAACTAATTTACACTCCCACCAGCAGTGTAAAAGTGTTCCTTTTTCTCCACATCCTCTCCAGCATCTGTTGTCTCCAGATTTTTTAATGATCGCCATTCTAACTGGCGTGAGATGGTATCTCAATGTGGTTTTGATTTGCATCTCTCTGATGACCAGTGATGATGAGCATTTTTTCATATGATTGTTGGCCTCATATATGTCTTCTTTTGTAAAGTGTCTGTTCATATCCTTTTCCCATTTTTGAACGGGCTTGTTTGTTTTTTTCCTGTAAATCTGTTTTAGTTCTTTGTAAATTCTGGATATCAGCCCTTTGTCAGATGGGTAAACTGCAAAAATTTGTTCCCATTCTGTTGGTTGCCGATTCACTCTAGTGACTTTCTTTTACCGTGCAGAAGCTGTGGAGTTTGATTAGGTCCCATTTGTCTATTTTGGCTTTTGTTGCCAATGCTTTTGGTGTTTTGTTCATGAAGTCCTTGCCTACTCCTATGTCCTGGCTGGTTTTGCCTAGATTTCCTTCTAGGGTTTTTATGGTGCCAGGTCTTATGTTTAAGTCTTTAATTCATCTGGAGTTAATTTTAGTGTAAGGTGTCAGGAAGGGGTCCAGTTTCTTCTTTCCGCACATGGCTAGCCAGTTTTCCCAACACCATTTGTTAAACAGGGAATCCTTTCCCCATTGCTTGTTTTTGTCAAGTTTATCAAAGATTGTATGGTTGTAGATATGTTGTGTTGCCTCCGATGCCTCTGTTTTGTTCCATTGGTCTATATCTCTGTTTTGGTACCAGTACCATGCTGTTTTGATTACTGTAACCTTGTAGTATAGTTTGAAATCCGGTAGTGTGATGCCCCCCGCTGTGTTCTTTTTGCTTAGAATTGACTTGGCTATGCGGGCTCTCTTTTGGTTCCATACGAAGTTCATGGTGTTTTTTTCCAGTTCTGTGAAGAACGTCAATGGTAGCTTGATGGTGATAGCGTTGATTCTGTAAATTACTTTGGGCAGTATAGCCATTTTCACGATATTAATTCTTCCTAACCATGAACATGGAATGTTTCTCCATCTGTTTGTGTCCTCTCTTATTTCGTTGACAGTGGTTTGTAGTTTTCCTTGAAGAGGTCTCTTATGTTCCTTGTGAGTTGTATTCCTAGGTATTTTATTCTTTTTGTAGCAATTGTGAATGGCAGTTCGTTCTTGATTTGGCTTTCTTTAAGTCTGTTATTGGTGTAGACGAATGCTTGTGATTTTTGCACATTGATTTTATATCCTGAGACTTTGCTGAAGTTGCTTATCAGTTTCAGGAGTTTTTGGGCTGAGGCGATGGGGTCTTCTAGGTATACTATCATGTCATCTGCAAATAGAGACAATTTGGCTTCCACCTTTCCTATTTAAATACCCTTTATTTCTTTTTCTTGCCTGATTGCTCTGGCTAGAAATTCCAGTACTATGTTGAATAGGAGTGGTGAAAGAGGGCATCCTTGTCTAGTGCCGGATTTCAAAGGGAATGCTTCCAGTTTTTGCCCATTCAGTATGATATTGGCTGTTGGTTTGTCGTAAATAGCTTTTATTACTTTGAGATACGTTCCATCGATACCGAGTTTATTGAGGGTTTTTAGCCTAACGGGCTGTTGAATTTTGTCAAATGCCTTCTCTGCGTCAATTGAGATAATCATGTGGTTTTTGTTTTTGGTTCTGTTTATGTGGTGAATTACGTTTATAGACTTGCATATGTTGAACCAGCCTTACATCCCCGGGATGAATCCTACTTGATCATGATGGATAAGTTTTTTGATTTGCTGTTGCAATCAGCTTGCCAATATTTTATTGAAGATTTTTGCATCTATGTTCATCATGGATATTGGCCTGGAGTTTTCTTTTCTTGTTGAGTCTCTGCCGGGTTTTGGTATCAGGATCATATTGGTCTCGTAAAATGATTTGGGAAGGATTCCCTCTTTTTGGATTATTTGGAATAGGTTCAGAAGGAATGGTACCAGCTCCTCTTTGTGTGTCTGGTAGAATTTGGCTGTGAACCCATCTGGACCTGGGCTTTTTTTGTGTGGTAGGCTCTTAATTGCTACCTCAACTTCTGACCTTGTTATTGGTCTATTCATAGTTTCAGCTTCCTCCTGGTTTAGGCTTGGGAGGACACAGGAGTCCAGGAATTTATCCATTTCTTCCAGGTTTACTAGTTTATGTGCATAGAGTTGTTTGTAATATTCTCTGATGATGGTTTGAATTTCTGTGGAATCTGTGGTGATTTCCCCTTTATCATTTTTTATTGTATCTATTTGGTTGTTCTCTCTTTTCTTTTTAATCAATCTGGCTAGTGGTCTGTCTATTTTGTTGATCTTTTCAAAAAACCAGCTCTTGGATTTATTGATTTTTTGAAGGGTTTTTCGTGTCTCTATCTCCTTCAGTTCAGCTCTGATCTTAGTTATTTCTTGTCTTCTGCTGGGTTTTGAGTTTTTTTGATCTTGCTCCTCTAGCTCTTTCAATTTTGATGATAGGGTGTCAATTTTGGATCTCTCCATTCTCCTCATATGGGCACTTATTGCTATATATTTTCCTCTAGAGACTGCTTTAAGTGTGTCCCAGAGATTCTGGCATGTTGTGTCTTCATTCTCATTGGTTTCGAAGAACTTCTTTATTTCTGCCTTCATTTCATTGTTTATCCAGTCAACATTCAAGAGCCAGTTGTTTAGTTTCCATGAAGCTGTGTGGTTCTGGGTTGGTTTCTGAATTCTGAGTTCTAACTTGATTGCACTATGGTCTGAGAGACTGTTTGTTATGATTTCAGTTGTTTTGCATTTGCTGAAGAGTGCTTTCCTTCCAATTATGTGGTCAATTTTAGAGCAGGTGTGATGTGGTGCTGAGAAGAATGTATATTCTGTGGATTTGGGATGGAGAGTTCTGTAAATGTCTATCAGGTTTGCTTGCTCCAGGTCTGAGTTCAATTCCTGGATATCCTTGTTGATTTTCTGTCTAGTTGATCTGTCTAATATTGACAGTGGAGTGTTAAAGTCTCCCACTATTATTGTGTGGGAGTCTAAGTCTCTTTGTAAGTCATTAAGAACTTGCCTTATGTATCTGGGTGCTCCTGTATTGGGTCCATATATGTTTAGGATCGTTAGCTCTTCTTGTTGTATCGATCCTTTTACCATTATGTAATGGCCTTCTTTGTCTCTTTTGATCTTTGTTGCTTTAAAGTCTATTTTATCAGAGATGAGGATTGCAACTCCTGCTTTTTTTTTGCTCTCCATTTGCTTGGTAAATCTTCTCCATCCCTTTATTTTGAGCCTTTGTGTATCCTTGCATGTGAGATGGGTTTCCTGGATACAGCACACTGATGGGTTTTGGATTTTTATCCAATT